CTCATTGCTGGTTTGTAGGAAAGCAATTGACTTTTGTATATTAACCTTGAATTTTACTGTTTTACTATAATCGCTTATTTCAGGAGTTTTCTGTCAATTTTGTTTTGCATGTTTTGCCTAGATGATCATGCCATCTGTGTACAAAGGCAGTTTTATTTTTTCCTTCCCAATCTGTATCTTTTATTTCTTTTTATTGTCTTAGTGCATTAGCTAGTAATTCCAGTACAGTGTTGAAAAGCAGAGGTGAAAGGGAACATCTTGGCCTTATTTTTGATGTTAATTGGAAAGCTTAGAGTTTTTCAACATCAACTGTGATTAAGTTTTTAATAGGTGTTCTTTATCAACTTGAGGACATTCTCCTCTATTCCTAGTTTACTGAGAGATTTTACTATGAATGCCTGTTGGATTTTGTGGAATTATTTTCTGCATCTCTTCATGGGATCCTGTGATTTTTTTTTCTTCCGGTGATGTCATGGATTGTATTAATTGATTTTTAAATGTTGAACCAGCCTTCCATTCCTGGAATAGATTCCACTTGATTGTTCTGTAGAATTATTTTTACATGTTGTTGGATTATATTAGCTAAAATTTTGTAGAAGATTTTTACATTGATATTTACAAGAGATATTGATTGGTCTGTAGGTTTTCTTTCTTGTTCTAGCCTCATAGAATGAATTAGGAAGTATTCCCTGTGCTTCAACCTTTGGAAAGAGATTGTGGAGAATTGGTATCATTTCTTCTTTAAATGTTTGCTCTAATTCACCAGTGAACTCATCTTGGCCTGGTGCTTTCTCTTTTGGAAGTTTATTAATTACTGATTAAATTTATTTAATAGATATAGACCTATTCAGATTGTCCATTTCTTGTGTGAATTTGGGCAGATTGTGTCTTTCAAGGAATTGGTTCATTTCATCTAGGTTGTGAAACTTATGGGCATAGAATTATTTATAGGATAGTATTCCTTTATATTTTTAAGGGACTAGTTGTGATATTTCCTTTTCACCTCTGATACTAGTAATTTACATTCTCTTTTTTTCATACTTATCCTGGCTAGAGTTTTATGATTTTATTGGTCTTTTCAAAGAACCACTGTTGGTTTGGTTGATTATCTCATTTGATTTTGTTATCAAATTTATTGATTTCTGCTTTAATTTTTTGTTTCTTTTATTCTGTTTCTTTTCGTTTTAATTTGTTCTTTCTCTATTTTCCTAAGATGGAATTTTAGATAATTGTTTGGATCTTTCTTCTTTTATAATATATATGTTCAGTGCAATCAGTACCCTGCAGTGCTTTCGCTGCATCCCACACATTTTGGTATGTTGTATTTTAATTTTACATTAGTTAAAAATAGTTTTAAATTTCTCCTGGGATTTTTCATTTGTCCCTTGTGTTATTTAGAAGTGTTTTTGCTTAATCTTACAAGTATTTTGGGACTTTCTTGCTATCGTTTTGTTATTGAGTTCTAGTTTAATTGCATTATGGTTTGAGAGCAGAAATTGTATTTAAAATTTAAAATTTGTTAACGTTTGTTTTATGGCCCAAAATGTTGTCTCTCTTGGCTGTGAGCTTGAGAGGGATATGTTTGGATGAAGTAATCTATAGATGTCCCGTTACATGCATTTAATTGATGGTGTTGATTTTCTGCCTGCTGAATCTGTCCATTTTGTTAGAGGTTATGTTAAAGTCTTCAACTGTAATAGTGGGTTCACCTCTTCCTTCTCACAGTTTTGTCAGTTTTCGTCTCACATATTTTGATGATCTGTTGTAAGCATTAACAATGGTCATATCTTTTTGGAGAATTATCCCTGTATTAGTATGTAATACCTTGCTTCCTTGATAACTTTCCTTGATCTGAGTTCGGCTCTGTGTGAAATTAATGTAGCTACTCCTGTTTTTTTTTAATTAGTGTCAGCATTGTGTGTCTTCAGCCATTAAATTTATAAAACATATAATTTATAAAATTTATATAATTCTCCACATTAAGTTTAAGATTTTACTCTCCAAAACTGAAGCTGATAATTCAGGCAATATAGAAAACAACTTCTGACTTCTGAAGACACGTTAACCCTTCCCTGGTTGAAACCCTGATATGCATAAACGTAATCAATGGGAATGTTCTTTTGTCCTTTTAGTTGCTGAACTTTTGGTGATCAGTCATCTGTTCTGCTATATATCACGGGGTCTTTGTTTAGAAACTCTGTTCCCTAATTCTGATATGTTCAGTTCAGAAAGAGTGTCTTAAATTAATAAGAACAGTAATAGCTGGTATGTATGGAGCCATTTCTATTACCTGGTACCCTGCTAAGCACTTTATATTAATGTCCTTCATGTCATTCTTAATCAGCCAGGATTCATGGGGTCGTCTAGAGTCAAGTTTTGGCTGTTTCTCTAATTCGGGATTCAGTAAATCTATGTAGCTTCAGGATTTCTGCTGGTGATATAAGTAAGGAAAATGGTTTGGTGTAGTAATTACTTTGGCAAATTAAACTTTGCTGTCGTGTACTGAAAGGTATTCATATACAATTTTTAAAACATTGCAGGCCAAACCAAAATCAGAAGATAGACTAGATAAATTTAAAATATGTGAATGAGGGCAGCTAGACCTTCTTGTCCAAATGCAAATTTAAATTATTTTGTTTGACACTTACTCTAACCCCTATTCTTTCACCTGTATCAGTAAGTAACAAAGTCATCATTTTAATGGAGAAAATGAACAGGTTTTCGGTTAGGAATGAGTAATTCACACCAAATTGATATTGCCACTTTGGGGGCCAGTTTGGTAAATTTAGAATGAAGTTGATGATGGTCATACATTATGATTGATCTACTAGTTCCTCTTGCAGATAGCTCCTGTGGAGAATATCTCACAAACTTCCATCGCAGCACTTCATGCAGAAATGCCAGGCATAAAATAATTAACTCCCCTTCTTTAGGGGAATGGAAAATAAAGTGGGGTTTTATTTCTCCAGTAAATTGCACCTTAGCATTTGTCTAGTAATAGCGCTATCTCTGTCAACATGGACAAACCTCAGCATGCTGTTGAGTGAAAACTCCATGTTCCAAAAAAAGTGGATTATGTGAGATTAAAAACAATAATATACATTACTTATGGACATATTACTAGACAGTAAAGATATAAAACATGCACTTATGCATGATAACAATGCCTATCAACTCCAGCCCCCACCTTTAGGAAGAGAACACAAGAGAGCATGGGCGTTATGTCTGTAATAATTCATTCTTAAAAAAATCCAGAGCTTTGAAATGAGTTAGCAGTGTATTTAATCTCTGTGATAGAGACGTAGGTATGTGTTGTTATTGTTTGCACTTTTCTCATATTTGAAGTGTTACGTAATTTTTAATATGTAAGTGTGAAAGAAAAACTAATTGCAACTCTGTGATGAGAAGTTTGTCTTTATTTTCCCTGCCTTTGTTGTTTATTTTTGTTTTTTCACTTTTGCCACCCCGGCGGAAGAAAGAAGTCTTTACGCCCCTGTGGTCACTTAGGAAAGCTTTGAGTCGAAGGTGACTGTTGGATAAGAAGGCAGAGGAGCTTACTTGGATATGGCAGGAAGAACAGACTTAAAAATCACGGGGGGCCAGGGTGGGAACATACTCTCAGGAGTGGGAGAAGTGGAAGCGACTGAGCATAACAGGAACCAAAGTGTGCGCGTGGCGGAGTAGTGGGTGCGATGGGCTTCTGATTTAGACGGGGCCCAGGTCGTGAGAGCCGTGATAGGTGTGGATCTGTTTGGACCTAATCCCGTGGATCAGCGGTTATCATTCAGGGGATCTTCAGAATTGCCTGGACCCCATTCCAGAGGGATTGCGCTAGCACTTTGTAGAATAGCGACTGGAACGCTGTTCTTTAAAAGAAGGGTACCTTTCTTTAAAAGTGTTTGCCACATCTGTTCTCTTACTTCATTCTAACGACTGCCGGAGAGAAGATGCTATGTAATGGAGAATCACAGTCCAAAGTAGGCTTAGACAGGTTTGCCATGGAGTTTTTGATATACCTGTGTTTAGAGCTCAGCACCTCTCCTGGGAAGTGATTGCTTCGGTTTCTGCCCCATTCGGCGTAGGAAAATGGAGAAGAGCTACGTTGTCCCCATTCTGAGGTGGCTGGTCACTCCGGAGGCTTATTCTCCAAGTCCCTCCAGATGTTTGAAATGAAAGTCTCTGTATAAAATTATATTGAGGGGCAGCACTAGGTGGTTTGCTGTCAGGACCTGTCGTCATGGCGGGCCACCGGAGCTCTTTAAGGACCTGTGTCAGTGTGGCTCGATAAGCCTTCTGTTTTGTCTTGTGGGGAGGAGAGCGGGGAGATCACAGGCAAGGAGTGTTAGCATATTCCAGGTACGAAGTGGTGTCAGTCCTTACTAAAGCTATGGCTATAGGAAGTGATAGATTCAAGATAAAATTAGAAGACAGTGTGTAATAAAATGCTCTATGAGTGGATTTTCATTTTTAATGAGTCTGTGAGACTGGGCAAGGAAAGGAAGAAAGCCTGAGAATTGGGGAGAGAGAATGCATTCTAGGTAATAGATGCATATCGAATTGTTACAGATGAAGACTTAAGTAGTTTTAATTTTTTAGTGTATTTCCAGTCTCAGTCACAGAAAATGTTCGTGGTAACTGATCAATAACCTGGTTTGATTTTTCTTTAGTTTTTATTACTTTCTCTCACTCAGAATTATTTTAAGGTTCTTTCTGTAGGGTTAGGGTCACATGCTGTCTTAACATCTAACAGCGTTGTTCCCAAAGAGCCAGTAGGCTTTGATGAGTGGTAGGAAGAGGGTTAGTGAGAGCTCGATCTTATTTTCCACTATTGACTGTCCAATATAATGTAACTCACTACATTGTTTTGGAGTTTAACTATTTATTATTAAGTTAATAGAAGCTTTCCATTAGAAAATATAAAATCCCCTGAATAAAGTACCATTTTAGAATAAGGTTCATAATGGAAACGAATTATAGGAGCCTTTTTTTCTTCCCCATAGGGCAAAAGTTGGATTGTTAAAAGAAGTTATGAAGATTTTCGAGTACTTGACAAACATCTTCATCTGTGTATTTATGACCGACGATTCTCCCAGCTCGCAGAGCTTCCCCGCTCTGATGCCCTGAAGGACAGTCCAGAGGTAATTACTATATATAAGTTAGCAGAAATTTTTGCTTGTTTACCAAATAAAAGCTTATAATGAACACACAGGATGATTCCTGGGATTATTTAATTATTTCATGACTGAAAAATTAGTAATGCTGTGTGGGATGTTTAGTAAAATAGGTTCAGTGTATAATTTTATAACAAAAATACCTCATATTGCAATATATAAATGAGCACTGTATATGAGCAGAGTGTTCTCCAAAGGGAATATAAAATATTGAAGCAAAAATGTGGGAAGACATTGACTTCAGTAATAATCAAATAGATAAATAATAAAACAACACTCTTTGCTTAGTTTGAGATGGCAGGCTAGGTCTGTGCATCCACCTGCACTTCTGCCAAATATTTCTACTAAAAATATAGAAGATTTAAAGAAATTTTTTAAAAGGGAAGGGACTTTTTTTTTTTTTATAACATCAGAAAATCAAAAGAACCACCAGGGAATAAAAAATTGTGAGGCATATTTGAAAGTAGATGGGATAAGAATTATGAGGACAAGAAAATACAGCATAAACTACGTGTACAAGAAGACTGCAGAAGACAGATAAACGAGAGCTCTTATAGGTAAAAATAGCAGCAGTCGTGCTGCGTGACAACGTTCGGCCGACAGCGGAACGCGTGTGTGACAGGGGAACGCAGGATTATAATGGGGCTGAAATTTCTGTGGCCTTGTGACACAGCAGCTGCCGTAGTGTGGCTCAGTGCATTACTCACGTGCCTGTGGTGATGCTGGTGTCAGCAGACCTACTGCGCTGCCCATCACATAAAAGGATGGCACATACATTGTGTACAGTGCATGATACTTGATAGTGATAATACACAACTATATTTCTGGTTTATGTATTTATTATAATATACGTTTTATCGTTGTTTTAGAGTGTCCTCTTTTTGCTTGAAAATTGTTTGCTGGAAAACAGTGTGCCGTGTTATGCAGGCAGCAGCCTCGTTCGTCTCATATTTGCCGTGTCTCTTGATTGCATCATTTTCTCTTGGGCTTGATTTAATCTCGTGTTGTTTTGTACAGTAGTAACGTGCTGTACTGGTTTGTAGCCCAGGAGCAATAGGCTGTACCACCTAGGTTTGTGTAAATGCACTCTGTGGTGTTCGCCCAATGATGAAATCGCCTAAGGATGCATTTCTCAGAACATCCCCATCAGTTAAGAAGTGCACGTCTGTAAACAAAATAACTGAGAAGAGCAAGCAGAGGGCTTTGAGGAGCATTAGTATACTCAAGAGAGAAAGCGAAGCCATCACGTTCATGGAATGAGAGAATTTTACAAAAATAAAATAAATCAGAGATCTTAGAAATGAACATATGGTCATTTAAGTGAATTTTAATTATAGTAAATCTGAATAGCTGGACTACATACAGAACCAACAGAGATGAAGAGAAAATTAGTGAGCTGAAAGATCAAGCTTTATAAGAATACAGCCCCAAAGGGATAAAAAGTTGGGGAAAAATGGCTGGGAAGCATGGAGAATAAATTGAGAAGTCCGTACTGTGTTTTCATTGGAAGTCACTAAAAGTTAATATAAGAAAATCCCCTAAAGATAAAAAAGGCACATTTTCAGATTAAATGGTCCCATTAAGTGCTAATATCATGAGTAAAAGGACATACTTCTAGAAACCTGTAGTAAAATTTCAAAATGCCAAAACAGAGAGAAAACCTGAAAAGCTTCTAGAGAGCAAAAACAGATTTTCTCAAAAGAACAAGAATTGTATCAGCATTAGAGTCCTCGGCAGCTACAGTGGATGCTTGAGAACAGTGCCAAATATCTTCCATGTCCTGAGGGGAAGCCATTTCAATTGTGTAATTAATTCCAAGGCAGTTAAGTATGTAGGGCCAAGGAGCAACATCATCAGTCATGCAAGAACTGACACTACAGCAGAGTCTCGGGAACATCGTAAAACCACAGATTCTTTTGTATCGTGGAAAACCCAGAAGTCTCTCTCTCCGTTTTCCATCTATGTCTCTCTGTTGCATTTTTCTCTGTCACACTGTCTCAGAACATGGTCACTACCAAAAGGTCCCACATTTTTGTTTTAAGACAGCAACCAGACTGCGCTGAAATTTTGTATCATAATTCCTAATTCCTGCAGTAACTCTTGTTAGGCTGGTTTGTGCTGTGTCATATTCCTGGACCCATCAGCTGGCCCATGGTGTGAACATGGCTGTTGTGCTGCAGCTGGAAAATTGCAGCATGTCATGGAGAAAGAGGTTGAGGGTAGCTGGGAGAAGCTGGGCAGAAGCTAAGTATGTCTTTGCTATCATTATCTTTTATATTTCCAATACAGAAATAGGAAGAAAAAGCAGTAAAATTAGAAGCTATAAAATAGTCTGTCCCCTGATGATGAGGGGTTAAAAGTCAAAGTTCTATACAAGACAGGGAATTCCTGTGTAAGTGCCTGTAGTTTCAGTTCATGGAACTATTGGCTCTGTGAAGAATCCTCTGTAACTGTTAAAATGTGAAAAAAATCTGCAGATTTGCTTTTTGCCTTGAAACAACCCATTTACAGCAGTTCTTCTTGCAGAGAGTAGAGTATCTTCACTCTGAGTTACCACTGAATCTTCTCTTTCCTTCCAGTCCGTCACACAGATGCTTATGGCTTACCTGTCCCGCCTTTCAGCTATTGCCGGCAACAAGATCAACTGTGGACCTGCCCTTACTTGGATGGAGGTATTATCTAATTCACCTCTTTGTAAGGTTTATTTTTAAATTATCTACTTAAGAAATTCAATATTAGTTTCATTTTGATAGGTATTAAGTTTTAGGAATCAAAGAAATTGAACTTATTCTATCTTTTGGAAGGATTTATGTGTGACACAATAACATATAATTTGTTATCATCTCAAATCATTCTTTGATAATCCAGGAAACTAATTTTGATTTTGTTCTATGAGTCATAATGATACCTGTTATTTTGGTGTTTAATATATTAATGTATACATTTTGAAAGGTGTGTATATATTTTCAGTTTACTTAGTAATTGAAAATATTTAAAAATTATTTATGAATAAGATACTACTAGCCTTTTAAAGGAACTGATTTAAGAATAAGTCTTGCGTGACTTCTGGTCAGGATAGTGGAGCATGTAAACTCTGTGCTCACCTCCTCCCATGACCACATCAGAATTACAGCTGAATTATAGAACAATCATCATTGAGAACCATTTGAATACTAGCTGAAAAGAATTTTTATAACCAAGGATACAAAAAAGAAGCCATGTGGAGACTGGTAGGAAGGGTGGAGATGTGGAACGGGCAGGTCGCACACCCCTGGTGTGGTGATTAAGAATTGGGAGGGATATCTCAGCTCTGCAGGTCTCCCCTTAGGAGCAAGTGGTCCCAGCCCCACACTGGGCTCCCTAGCCCAGAATTTCAGTGCCAGGAAGAGAAGCCCCCATAACAGTTTACTGTGAAAACCAGCAGGGATTGCATCTGAGAAAGAAAAAGGGACCAGGGTGCTCTTCTTAAAGGGCCCACGCATAGACTCATTCACTCACAAACTCACTTGAGCTAATAAGCTCCAGCACAGGGGCAACAGCTTGGAAAGTGCCAGGGACATATGGGAAGGAAATAAATTGATTAACTTCAGGACCAGGGTTATTGTGGCAGAACTCGAGGCAGTTAATCTGGCTAACACTGTTCTCCTGTCCTAGTGATATCCTGAGATCCCACCCCAAGCGACTTCTTTACCTAAGCAGCCTGCCTTGACTCATGCTATGGACTTTCCCAAAATATCTCAAACTTCTACAAACTGCAAACAAGCAGCTACAAACCACAAACAAGCAGCTCTAGCCTTGGCATGCTTCGTAGTTATTGCTAAGTGACCCCTAAGGCCAGCACAAGCAGCAACAATTCTCATCTTGCATTGTAACTCCCATCAGGTGACTCCACACTTGGCATAAGTGGTGGCCAGTTTTAGACTGGGAAGTAACTTCAACTAAGTGGCCCACAAGTCCAGTACAAGTGGCACCTGGTCTTAACTCACGCTGTGGTACCCACCAAAGGGTCCCAAGGCCAGCACAAGTGGCAGCCAACTTCAGTACACAGTGTAGCCTCTCCCTAGCACCTTCAAACCCAACACAAGTGGCAAAAATCTAGATCATTTTGTACCTTCCACCAAGTGGCTTTAAGCACAGCACAAGTGATGGTTGACCTTGATTTTCACCAAAGCCCCTCCTAAGAGGCTCCAGAAACAACACACCTGGTGTCCAGCTTCAGAGCACACCACAGCACCACTCACCCCTCTCCACAAATGATGCACTCAAAGGATGGACTACTCAGCAGCCACCTGAGCCCTGCTAAAGCTACTTACTTTCTATGGGCTCAGTTCCTGCACAGTAGCTTATTCACTGTATTCATGGTCAGCCCTCAAAGGCAGTTAGCCTGAGGGCCAACCCCACTCACTGGCTTATGAACAGCAATTGAGGCTCAAATACAATGGGAAGGTACACACAATCTACACAGGGCACATCCCCAGAGCACTTGGCTTATGTGACTAAGGAGACTGCATCACTGAGAACCACAGGACACCTTCTACATAAGGCCACTCTATTAATACTGGGAGACATAGCAGGTCTACGTAATACTTAAAAGCAAACACAGGGAGTCAGCAAAATGAGGAGACCAGAAATAAATGTCCCAAATAAAAGAATAAGACAAAACTTCAGAGAAACTACTAAATGAAATGAGATAAGCAGTTTGCCATATATAGAGTACAGAACACTGGTTATAAGGAGACTCAATGAATTTAGGGGAAGAATAGATGAATTCAGTGAGGATTTCAACAAAGACATAGAAAACGTAAAAACGGAGATAAAAAATAAAAGAGAACTGGTCAGAAATGAAGAACACAATAACTGAAATGAAGGCTGCATTAGAAGGAATCATACAGCAGATTAGATGAAGCAGAGGATTGAGTCAGTGATTTGAAAGACAAAGCAGCAGAAAACACCCAATTGGAACAGCAAAGAAAAATAAGAATTTCAGAAAATGAAGATAACTTAAAAGACCTCTGGTACAACATCAGGCATACCAGCATTTGCATCATAGGGCTGGCTACCAGAGGGAGAAGAGATTGAGCAAGGGATTAAAAACCAATTTGAACAAATAATGACTGAAAACTTTCCTAACCTGGTGAAGGAAAAAGACACACAAGTCCAGAAGGTGCAGAGAGTCTCAAAAAAGATGAACCCAAAGAGGTCCACACTAAGACACGTCATAATTAAAATATCAAAGGTTAAAGACAAAGAGAGAATCTTAGAAGCAGCAAGAGAAAAGCAGTTAGTTACCTACAAAGGAGCTCCCATAAGACTGTCAGCTGATTTCTCAATAGAAACTTTGCAGGCCAGAAAGGATTGGCAAGAAATATTCAGTGATGAGAAGCAAACACCTACAACCAAGATTGCTTTACCCAGGAAGGCTATCATTTAGAGTGGAAGGAGAGATAAAGAGTTTCCCGGAGAAGAAAAAACTAAAAAGTCATCAGCACTAAACCATTATTACAAGAAATGTTAAAGGGGCTTCTTTAAGTAGAAAAGATAAAAAATGTGAGTAAGACGATATAAGAAAGAAAAAGATTCTCACTGACAAAGGCAAACACTTAGTAAAAGCACTGAACCAACCGACTATAATGCTATTATAAAGGTTAAAAGGCAAAAAGTGGGAAGATCATGTGTAATTGCAACAAAAAATTAAGGGATACACACAAACACACATGAAACAAGTAAAAAATAATGACATGTAAACATGGAAGGGATGAATAGAAATTGTAGTGATTATAGAATGTATTTGAACTTCAGCTACCATCAATGTAAAATAGACTGCCTGCCATAAGCATAGTTTGGTATATATGAAGCACACAGTAACCTCAAACCACAAAGATATATAAGAATAAAAGACAATGGAATCTAAACGTAACACTATAGAATGTCATCAACATACAAGAGAAGACAGCAGGAGAATAGGAAAGGAACAGAAAACTTACAAAACAATCAGAGAACAATTAATAAAATGGCTGTAACCAAATACCTGTCAGTAATTACTTCACATGTAAATGGACTAAATGCTCCAATCAGAAGACATAGAATGGTTGAATGCACAACAATCATGACCCATGCATATGCTGCCTACAAGAGACCCACTTCAGGTCATAAGACACACATGGAAAGTAAAGGGATGGCAAAAGAAACTGCGTCAAGATTAAAAGAGAGAGGCCCAGATAAATAAAACTAGAAATGAAGGATAAGCGACATCTGACACCACAGAAATACTAAGGATTATAAGAAAATGCTAAAAACAGTTATATGCCAATAAATTGGACAGTCTGGAAGAAATGGATAAGTTCCTAGAAACATACAGTTATCCAAGACTGAATCAGGAAGGTGCAGAAAATCTGAACAGATCGATCACTACTAATGAAATCAAATCAGTAATGAAAAAACTGCCAACAAACAGATATTAGACCAGATGGCTTGGCAGGCAATTTTATCAAACATTCAAAGAAAAATTAATACTTGTCCTTCTCAAACTACTCAAAAAAATTGAGGAGGAAGGAAGGCTCCCAAACTAATTTTACGAGGGCTTGCATTATCCTGATACCAAAATCAGACAAAGACACTACAAAAGACAAAATTGGAGGCCAATATCCCTGATGAACATACATTCAAATATTCTCAACAAAATATTAGCAAACCGAATTTAGCAATACTTGAAAAGGTCATGTGCCACGATCAAGTGTGATTTATTCCTGGGATGCAAAGTTGGTTCGATATCTGCAAAATAATTAATGGGATACACCATATAAACAAAATCAAAGATAAAAATCGTGATCATATCAGTAGATGCAGAAACAAAGCATTTGACAAAATCCAACATCCATTTATGACCAAAAAAACTCTCAGCAAAGTGGGGATAGAGGAAACAAACATACCTCAACATAATAAAGGCCATATATGACAAACCTACAGCTAACATCATATTCAGTGGTGAAAAGCTGGAAGCTTTCCTTTAATATTAGGAGCAGGACAAGGATGTACACTTTCATCACTTCTATTCAGCATAATATCGGATGTACTAGCCATAGTAATTAGACATGAAAAAGAATAAAAGGCATCCAGATTGGAAGGGAAGAAGTAAAACTGTCATTATTTGCACAGAGAACCCTAAAAATTCCATCAAGAAACTATTAGAACTAATAAATGAATTCAGTAAAGTTGTAAGATACAAATTAATATTCAGAAATTGGTTGCATTTTTATACACTAATAATGAACTATCAGAAAGAGAAATTAAGAAAGCAATTCCATTTACAGTTGCATCAAAAAGAATAAAATATCTAGGAATAAATTTAACCAAGGAGGTGAAAAAGACTTACACTTGGAAAACTGTAAGACATCGAAGAAAGAAATTCAAGAAGATACAAATAAATGGAAGCATATACTGTGCTCATGGATAGGAAGAATTAACATTGTTAAAATGTCCACACTGCCCAAAGCAATCTATAGATTCAGTGCAATCCCTATCAAAATACCAATGGGTTTTTTACAGAACTAGTAAAAATAATCCTAAAATTTATATGGAACCAGAAATACCCCAATAGCCAAAGCAATATTGAGAAAGGATAACAAAGTTGGTGGTATTATGCTACCTGACATCAAACTATACTACAGGGCCATAATCAAAACAGCATTTTACTGTTATAAATAGCGACATAGTTCAATGGAATAAAATAGAGATCCTAGAAATAAAGTCATGTCTATATGGTCAGTTAATCCATGACAAAGGAGGCAAGAATATACAGTGTGGTAAAGACAGTCTCTTCAATAAGTGGTACTGGGGAAACTGGACAGACATGCAAAAAAAGAGAGAAACTAGACATCTTACACCGTATAGAAGAATAAGCTCAAATGGATTAAAGACTTAAATGTAAGACCTAAAACCATAAAACCCATAGAAGAAAACATAGGCAATAACTTCCTGTCATCGTTCTTAGCAATATTTTTTGGATACGTTTTTTTGAGGGAAGGATACAATAGAAAAAATAAACAAATGGGTCTGCGTCAAAGTAAAACGTTTTTGTACAGCGGAGGAAAGCATCAACAAAGTGAAAAGACAACCTACTGAATGTGAGAAGATATTTGCCAACCACACAACACATTATATCGAAAATGTATCAGGAAGTCTTCAAGTTAACACCAAAAAAAGAAAACAACATGAAAGAACGCTCCGATTAAAAAATGGGCTGAGGACGTGAATAGACATTTCTCTAAAGACAGATGATGGCCAGTAGACTAATGAAAAGATGCTCACACCCTAGTCATGAGGAAAATGCACATTCGAACCATAAGGAGTTCTCACCTCGCACCTGTGGGGGCGGCCATCAGCAATAAATCAAGAAGCAACGAGTGCTGGCGAGGACGGTGAGAACAGGGAACCCCTTGTGCAGTGTTGGTGGGATTTTAAATTGGTGCAGCCGCTATAGAAAACAGTATGGAGATTCTTTGGAAAATTAAAAATAGAACCTTGCAATTAATTTAAAAATATGACCTTGAAATTCTTCTTCTGGCTATTTAGGCAGAGAAACCCAAAGCGCTAATTAGAAAAGATATGCGCACCCTTACACTCATTACAGCGTTACTTACGTACAATAGCCAGCGTCTGGAGGCAGCCCAGCTATCCGTTGCTAGTTGAATGGTACGTACACACAGTGGACTGTGACTGAGCCATAAAAAAGAGTGACATCTTACCATCTGTGACAGCATGGATGAACCTAGAATTACTATGTTATGTGTAATAAGTCAGGCAGCGAAAGACAAATATCATGTGAGTTCGCCTGTATGTGGAATAAACAAAATAGAAAAAAGGAATAAGCCTTGGGATACAGTACCCAGTAACTATGTTAGGTGTTTTTCCTTAATTTGCATTGGAAACTGGAAGGCAGGAAGGGAAGTAGAAAAGCTGTAGAACTTAGAGCCCGGTCCGTTTGCATTGAGATCTTGGCACTTTCACTCTTGTCTGTGTGATCTTGGACAGATTATTTTATCCGTTGCAACTTGTAGCTCTAGCATCTTCATCTTTAAATGATGACAATTAGTGCCTTTTCGAGCTCTGAGGATTAACTTAAATCCTGTGTTATGTGCACAGCACAGTGACTGGCATATTTTAAGTATTCTATAAATGATGTGTGTTTTTTAAAAAAAATACTCTTTGGGTGATAGTTTTCCTAAATCAAATTGAATGTCAAAGAAGCCTTTGCGAGCCCCGTGTCTTTCGCCATCTCACGGCACGTCTTTTGCTGTAGATTGATAATAAGGGGAACCACCTCCTGGTGCATGAAGAATCGTCCATCAACACGCCTGCAGTCGGCGCTGCGCATGTCATCAAGAGGTACACCGCCCGGGCCCCCGATGAGCTGACCTTAGAGGTAAATGCCTAAAGTTGCTTCCCTGTGTTGGCTCGGTCCCTGCCACCTTTCCAGCCTCATCCTTAACTGTGTTAATCGTTTTTTAATTAAAAGCACCAGTTTTTTTTATGCCCCATTATCTCTTAACCTGGCATGCCGTCTATTTTTACTTAAATGACTGCGCTTATCTTTGAAAATTTTAGCTTCAGCGTCTCCCATTTCTTCTGAGAAGTCGTTGCTGCTCTCCTTTCCCTACTCCATGCAAATACACGTCCCCCAGAAGTCGGGACTTAATGGCATTCTGAACCATTCTCAGGGCTTATCACTGACGCATCACTTAATTACATTCAGTCATAATTGTTCCCCTGTTTGTCTCTTAGCTTCTTGAGAGCCAGGTCTCAGTCTTTTCGTCTTTGTCTGTTTATTCAGCACCTAAAAACGATACCCAATGGTACTTTTTTTCTCATTGTTTGTTCAAAGATTGAGCTAATGGGCAGGGAAGAAGAGAAATCAACATTTCTTACTTTCAGATGCTAAAGGAGGGAATTAAATTTCTTCCTTTAATATTGGCTGATGAGAGATACAAACCAAAATGCTGACCGTTCCTCAGCTTAAGGAACAAGGGTATACAGTTTTACTGTGTAGAATTGGAACTGTTCTCAAACTTAAGTTTTGGGTTCTATACCAAAGGAATGTAGATCTTGAAAGATGCCAAGTCCATTAGCAAATGTGGCTTTGTGAAGATGACTCTTCCCTGACTTAAGAAGTTATCGTGAATATACAAAGAAAAGCCTTAAAGCAACATCACGTCCATTGGTCATACCGCTCTGAAGTACTTAACTTTGTTCCGTCACAGAGATCATCACTTGCTTTGATGGAAGAATGTAACTCCCATTACATCTGCTATTAAAAACTATTATTGTGATTTTATATTTATGATTTTGTAAAAGTTCCTACAGACTCATTAGTTTTATTTTATTTTATTTTTTTAAATATATCTTTATTGATTTCAAAGGAGATGGAGAGAGAGATATAGAAACATCAATGATGAGAGAGTCATTGATCAGCTACAGCCCGCAACCTGGGCATGTGCCCTGACTGGGAATCGAACCCCGATCTTCTGGATCCTAGGTTGACTCTCAGCTGCTGAGCCACGCCCGGTCGGGCTCATTAGTTTTATTTTAGAGTGAAGGTAGTAAGCTATTGTACCATCTATTGAAAGCAGTGTAGTTGTCAGCAGATTTTACGCTTCCTGAGAGTAACCCAGCAGTTGTAGACATGTTAGGCCTTTCCTATATGATTAAATAAGATAATGTCAAGTGCTCAGCACAGTGCCTGGCATGTGGCAAGTGCCCCCTTGCTGTGGTATTAATAGAAGCTGCTGTTGCTCTAAACATGAGCATTCATATCTGCCTTTTGTAAGTGAGTCTGGTCACTTTCAGTAGCAGCAGTAACAGGATTTTAGCAGAAGTATTGACGATGGTATGATCGATGCCTCGCCTTCAGAAATCTTGCGCTGTCAGCCTGGCTTTCTGGAGTCACTGCTCACGTGACACTGAGTCCCAGTCTGTGCTGCTTTACATTTCGTAACCCTCTCCTTAACAAATGGTTAAGATGATTAAATTCTTTACAGAAAGAAGTGTATGTTTTTTTCAGAAACAATTAAGCTGGAGAGTAAAATAGTACTTTAAACTTTTGCCACAGTTCAGATTAAATTCTAGATGAAACAATTGGTTTAAAATTTGACTAAAAACATTTCCCTTAATTTTTTTTCTCCTAGGTGGGTGACATTGTTTCCGTTATTGACATGCCCCCGAAAGTGTTAAGCACGTGGTGGAGAGGCAAGCATGGATTTCAGGTAGGCAATAGAGAATCGGGTGTGGAGAAGTTCAGAGAACAGTTTTTCTTGATCCTTCGGTAATGTTTTGGTTTACAGCAGGTGCTGGCAATAGACTTTATCATCAGAATTCTGTGTGAGACGATAGAAAAATGTAGCTGATATTAGACTTGGATTTTCTTTTCTAGTTACTATTGTGGTTATTTTTAACTCCTTCTTTTCTAAAAAATGTGAGCAGAATCACAGGCCTGATGATCACTTTGCAATTATCAGGCCTCTGTGTTGCTCTGTGTGTGACTCTGTGTTGCTGCTAATCTCCCTTTATCTGTTATAGAAATATCCATAGCAGTTTAATCTAATGATTAATACCAGAAAAATGATATCCATATTACCCTACAAATTATTTGTTTGTACAGTTGGGGTCCCCCTTCATCTGTGCTCTGATTTCTAGGTTGCTGGGAATAACTGGTACCTTTGATTAAATATAAAAGTAAATGGAAGACTGGGGTTATCTTTTTTCTATTAAAGGGTCAGCTCTCCGTGTTCATGGAAATGAGATATAAACTTTAGGGTCACAGATTGGATAAAAAATACATTTGGCTTTAAAATGACAGTTATGTTTTGGTCTAATATTGTTACCTTATAATCTTAGACAAGTCACATGCTTTCTTTGGACTTTAGTTTCTTCTACTTCATCTCAGTATTTCAGTTCTATGATTGTAAAAATATTAGGTTTCCCTTCTTTCATGTAACAAACATGCATTAAGTATTGAGTCTGTGCTAGGCATAGATTTATCTTCCTAAATCTTTTATTTAGAGACACACAAATTAGTTTTATTACCTAAACAAACTAAATTTAAAAAAATAGAATAAAATAACTAGTTAAAAATTAGTTTATTGCCAAAACAAATTATTTAAAATAAATACAGGTTTTATTAACTTCAAGAGTTGATTTGTAATTGATAATGAAAGAGTTTTTATATAAAAAATCCTGGTTGGTCTTGGAAAGGCAGTCATATCTGTTTAGGTCATGTTGGAATATGTCTGTGATTTGGGTTGGTGGAACACCCATAAAACCAGGAGCAGGTCTTCAATGTCACTGTCAGACTTCATTTAAAAAGGGAATCTAATACTTTAAGGAAAGAATCCACACAATTCTCTCTTCCTTGCTGTTCCTAAACAGTAGTCTGTTTGTAAGTGCGTCTTATTATGGTTTATTGCAGGGAGGCGTGAATGGGAGGGCAGGTGCTAAAGCATCTGCTATGTGCAAAGTATTGTGAGGCTCTTCATACATGTTTTCTTTAATCTTCCTAAAACTTCACCATAGTTGTTACCCCCATTTTATGGAGAGGATACAGTTTTGAGAGGGTTAATAAACACCTAAGACGCCAAGTCAGTAAGTGGTGGACTAGGGACTCAGGTGTGCTCAGTGTCATCACCTGAGAGCACCGAGCCTGACTTCTACATTTCCTCTCCTGTTATTAACCTTCTCTACCTCAGTTTTCTGTCCTGTAGAAAGATTAAGCAACTGTGCACTGCAAAGCATTTGGGTTTGCTGGTGGAAACATTGCTGTTACCAGATGTTTGGTTTTTTGTGATGACAAAGACCTAGTATCTGGGAAAAACTACCCTTCAGGCTATTTGTGACAGTCTTTACCTGTGTTATGTGTTTCAAAATTGTGAGCATATGCCGATCTCTCCTCAGATACTCTGTTGAGAGAGGGAGATAATCGTAATTTACTCCACGTACAGTAGGTCAGTAGGTTCTGCGACTTTAAGTAAAATGATGTATAACAAAGCTAGTTTTACCACAGACTGATTGACGTAAGCAGAGTTACATTCCTGTGCCACCTCATCAACTTTATAAGGAAATGAAATGACATTGAATGAAAAGATGTCATTCCAGGACCTGCTGTATATGATAATTGAAGATCAGATCCCTTTACTATCCTGATTTTTAAGTTTGAATAACTGGAATAATGGCTTAGTCCATTGGTTTTCGTAATAAAATAAAACAACCCAGTGGAATTTTTAATCAAACAGTATGCATCGAACCTCAGTGTGAGAAAATGTAACCGTGGAGCTGCCCTGGTTGGTTTAGTCGGGCACCCAAGGCCTCCTGCCCCAGGAACATGCCTGGCTGACCTCTCTCAGACCTCCTGCAACATCCGGGAGGGGCCTCCGTGGAGTGTGTACAGGTGACGCTGCTGGGAGACCACTAGTTTAGGTTACCAGTACACCTTATTTTATGTGGTGGACATATTACATCAGAGGCTAGTTTATAATTTGAACTTTTAAAAGTCAGAGAAACTTGTTCTTTATATAAGCACATTTTTTATGTGACTCTTTTTAGAAGAGTAATATTTTTATTTTATAATTTCTCTAATGTAAGTTATGTCTGAATTCCTGGTGTTTCATATATTCTGACGTAGATGGGGGATACAGATTCAGAATGTGAATAAAATCATGTATATTTCTGTGAGAGTCTTGCCTGTTACTGAGTACTGCTGTTTCTAAGGTTCATCTGTTTCTTTGCTTGACTGTGACGTATAAGTTTGCTAGGGCTGCCATGCCACATACCATAGACGGGTGGCTTAAATCACAGAGCTTACTTCTCAGCGCTCTGGAGGCTGGAAGTCTAAGGTCAAGATATTGCCATGGTCGGTTTCTTCTGCACCCTCTCTGCTTGGCTTGCAGGTAGCCGCCCTTTTGCCGTCCTCACATGCTTTTTCTCTGTGTACACATACTCTCAGAGTCTCTGTCCGTGTCCTAATTTCTTCTTAGAAGGACAGCAGTCAGATTAGAATGGGCACACCTACATGACCTCATTTAACTTTACTTGTCTCTTTAAGGGCCCTGTCTCCAACTACATTTTGAGATACTGGGGTTAGGGCTTCAAAATATGAATAGGTTTCAACCAGCCCTGGATGGCTAGGTGGTTGGGGTCACCTTTAGGGCCAGTTTGAAAGCTGTCAGGGACTCGCTCTCTCACAGACTTGATAAGCAGCAGGGCCCTGCCTGAGCCAGGCTGGCCGTAGGTCAAAGGCGGGCAGAGCTTGGGGCATTGACCACGACTGCAGATGGAAACGTCTGCTTTGTGGGCGCTCTGCCCCCCCTGCTGTCCTCAGGCACTGAGGAAGCCAGGCAGCATCTGAGAAGGTGCCCACCTTGAGCTCACAGGCTGGTGCCAGACCTTCATTTCATTCATGGCAGAAGGCCTTCTGGGCACTGGGCATTTTACTCGGAGACAGGACAGAGGGACAAGCAGGTCCTAGTGCTCTCTTCAGGGCGTTTCGGATGAGTGGGAGGCTCAGAGCCCAGAAAGCTCCTTGTAAGGTCTGAGAGGGCTTCCTGGAGGAGGTGACTTTTGAATGTAGAATCTTGTGTATCTCTTCTGAGGACAGGATGTCCACATGACCCAGGCGGACTGGCTAGACGTGGAGTAGCCGTTGGACTGGTTAGCTGGCTTGACCGGTTCTGGTCACGCAGATGGACTGTGTACACTGGGCTTTGTGAGTAGACCAGGAAGGAAGCACAGAGGCAGGAAGCTGTCTTTCCTAATAGAGCCGAAGGAGACAGGGCGTGGATTGGCCTTGAGGTAGTGTGGCCAGTGGTCTTCCTGGGGATCAAGACCAGTTAGAACAGACCACTCTCCGGAGAGAGTGTGAGGGAGCAGGGATGTGGCCGCTGCTCCCCAGGTGGAGGCCGACTCAGGAGTGCTCCAGGGTGACGCAGTGTGACGCTGACCGCAGGCCCCACGCATCCCCATGAGCAGGCCTGCTCGACTTGACATGTTTTGACATTTTACATGGACTGTGCTTTCTCTTTTGTCTCAGTCATGTTTTCTTGCTGTCTCCTTCCTGGCCTGCCATCAGGGCGTGACCGGCACAGGCTTCACTGGGAACTGACGCTGCGCAGTTGCTGGGTTGTGACGGTTTTATTTTATTATTTTAAAAAATAAATAATAGACCTTAGATTTTAGTACAAGTTGACAGAGTAATTGAGTAGATAGGACAGAGCTTCATGTACTGCGCCCTCCCCCACATAGACACGCACAGCCCCTCCTGTTGTTAGCATCCTCCTCTGTAACTCAGTGAACAGAGCTGGCGGAGCGCTCAGGCTCATCCGCCTGGCTGGCGGTTCTCCTGCGGCACAGCCGGGGCATTTCGGGAGGAGGGGTCAGGGCCTCCTGGGCCGGAGTCACAGGATAGAGAGAGCGTCAGTGCCACATCCTAGTCCACGGGGATCGAGACAGCGTGGGGCTTCCTTTTCGTTGTGAGTAGTGAACCAATATTCGTGCATTGCTAGTAGCTGGAGGCCATTATTTACCTTCGGGTTCGCTCTCTGCGACGTACAGTTGTGTGGGTTTTAACAAATGCGTAGGGACGTGTATCCACCATCACAGCTTCGTACAGCGTAGTCCCCTGCCCTGAAAATGCCTCGTGCTCCACTCGTGTTTCCCTCTCTCCTCCCGGCCCTGGAAACTGCTGGTCATTACTGTCTGCACAGCTTTGCCTTTTGTAAAGCATCGTAGGGTTGTAATTCTACAGGACGTAGCCTTTTCAAACTTAGCAAAAGGCATTTAGGATTCCTTCGTGTCTTTTTATGATTTGATAGTCTCTTTTTTAATCACCATGCAATATTCACTGTTACGGATGTGCCAGAGTTTATTTTCCCATTCATTTATTCAAGGACAGCTTCGTTTCTTCCAGTGTGGGGCAATTATGAGTAACGCTGCTTCGAGTGTAAACACCCATGTGCAGGGCTTTGTGTGGATGTGAGTTCTCAGCTCCGTTGGGTCAACGCCAAGGATCGCAGTCGCCGGATCATGTGGGCAGCCTTTGCTGAGCTTTGTAAGAAACCAAACTGCCTTTCCACGTGGTCGGCCGCTTCCCACTTCCCTCAGCGATGCTGCTCCGTCTGCTCCGTGTGTCACCGGCATTTGATAGTTCTCAGCTGTTTGGGATTTTAGCTGTTCTAATAACTGTGTAGTGGTCTTGCATTGTTGTCCCAATTTGCAG